GTCCAAAGCAGTCACTGCAGAGTCGGTAACGACTGAGCGCAGGATGGATAGATAGATAGATAGATAGATAGATAGATAGATAGATAGATAGATAGATAGATACGATGTATGTGGGCCAGTAAGATGATCTATGATTATGACAGCTCTATAACAGGAGCACGTGAAAGTTATATAGAATTCAAAGTGAGGAACTACCTCTGTTTGTACCGCCATCATATTATCAGCCAAACATTTCAAGTTTTAAATTGTGGGAGACAAATTAGTGTTCTTCAGATGTTCTGGATTTCAGCTCCCATTAATCCTGGGCTGCATAGCTCATTGATAAGTGTGAAAATAGTAGTTCAACAAAGGGAAAGTGGAGCTAAATTGATTAGGAAGATGCATATCTTTTCATTTGTCTCAACATAATGATTGTGAGCAACTGAATCAGAATTTTTTAGGAATTTACACGAAGGGTAGTAATATAATATATTTAGGCTATTTAAGTTTTACTTCAAGGGGAATAAGTCCATCACATGCTTGGTATAAATACAAGGTGAAGCATCTCATTTCATTTTCAGATCTGACCATATACCCTTTTGCATGGAAGCAATTGTTAATTGTACGTGATGAAATGCTATAGTAAGTAATACTGGCACATAAACATCAGAAACTATTCAGCATTTTCCAAATGAGTAAACTAAATGTAGGGAAGAAAAGTGGATTACATGATTTTACTGATGACCACTCAAAAGAGCATTATAGATGATTTTTCAGTGTAGCCTCTGGATTGCTATATATGAATTATTAGCAAGGTAATATAACTGGAGGTGGATGCAACCATTAAGATAGAACCAAAGGCAGCACTAGTAATTAGAAAGGCAAGATATTGTGAAGACACTAGTAATCCTGGCCAAGGACTGAAATGTGAAATGAACAAGAACCACCAGTTGAAAGGATACTGTATAACCGGTTTAGGGGCATGATGCCAAGGACATGAAATGACTATTCCAGTGGAGTGAAAGTGTTGAAGAATGAGAGGAGGAGTATCATTTGACACAAACGGTAATTAAAAGCATTTTAAAACCAATTAAGTTTTCCCTACTTTTTTGCTTTGATATTTCATTAGTTAAAAATGAAGTATCCAATTGGAGGACTACTGTGTCACTACAGGTAGTCCTCACTTAACGACCACAATAGAGACCAGAAAATTAAGCGGAGCAGTTGTTAAGTGAGCTGTGCCTGATTTTACCTTTTTTCGCAGTGGTCATTAAGTGAATCACCGTGGCCATTAAGCAAATCACGCAATTCCCCATTGATTTTGCTTGCCAGAAGCCAACTGGGAAGGTCGCAAATGACAATCGTGACCCTGGGACACTGCGACCATCATAAATGCGAGCTGGTTGCCAAGTGCCCGGATCGCGATCATGCAGGGGTGCTATGACGGTTGTAAGTGCAAGGAACAATTGTAAGTCCCTTTGTTTAGCACCACTGTAACTTTCAATGGTCACTAAATTAATGGTTGTTAAGTGAGGACTACCTGTATGAGAATTTAGTAAACCTAGTCAGAAGGAAGCATGCAGAGCTCAGTCATGCACCAAGCCAATGTAACTCAGAAATGAGATTTTCCAGGATATGTATAGGTTACCAAAAGCCTGAAGAGCCTAGGCAGAAGGAAAGATAACACCAGAGACGACCTCCAAACAGGGATAAGACATGGTGGAAAGAAATGTAACATGTTTTCAAAACTTTCACCAATGAAAATAACAAATGCTATCAAACTGCAAAACACTGAAACTCCAGTAAGTTTAAAACACAAGATACAAAATGAGTGGGAATGAGCCCAGTGTTTCACCAGAAAACGTGTAACAGGACTATTGCAGAAAAATCTGCAGAATTGATTGCTACATCAAAAAATTAGTTCAGAGTCTCAATAGATATTTTCATTGTCCATGTCTGGTGAGGGCCTTGAAGAGTCAGAAACATATAACTGACATGAATCATTGCAATGATTTGGGAATCAAATATTGCAGACAACAGATACTGTAAATGAAACCCTGTAACAGAACTGAAAAGCATATGCCATGGATCCAGGACCAAACCTAACCACTAGTATCAAGTGCTGTTGATGTGAGTGGCATAGACATCAAGATTTGGAGCTTCCCAATAACCAGGGGCCACGAATGCAGGATGAAGTTCCCATTCATTGAACAGCTTAGTGCAAAAGAGTCTCCTGTGTACCATTGTCAAAGGCCCAGGGTAAGTTGAACAAACAGTGGAGATTTTGTCATCTGTTGAAGTATTAAAACATGTTAGAATCGTCTATGTACACCTACATTACCTAGCTCTTTGCTAACCCGAATAAAAACATTAGGTTTTGAACATTTGAACTGGCTGATAAAGAACTCACCTGCCAGAAACCAGTAACTTGTGGTTCAACGATCTTGATAGGATGTAACAATTTCCCAAAGGAAAGTAAGGCACAACTCAAATGCAGGAGGGAATCAGAACTGAGCTGAAGAAACAGACCCAAAGAACTTGCATTTGCCTCCTCCTCAACACCATGTGGCTCAAAGACACAAAAGTAGTTGTTAATCATATGACCAAAATGAGGCACTGCATGCCCTTCATGGAGAACTAGGATTTTCACAATTGAAGTCCAACCTGAGAACAAGGAAAGGATGACTTGGACATAGTCTGTCATCTTAGTTAAGGCCATGCAACTAAGAATGAACCATGTAGCTAGAATTGGTAATCTCTGATGCAAAATATTTTGTAAAGAGCCACAGTACCATAGCAACACTCAGCAGGATGACAGAGAACTGGTATGGTATCATTCTGTACTTAAGATTCTCTTCATGTTCTTAGAGCAGGGGTTCCCAACCTGGGGTGCCCACACACCCAGAGGGTGTGAGATGGAATTTCAGAGGGTGCAACAATTTTATGCACTGAGTTAAAAGCTTTTTTTTTTTTAAGTTCAATTTGTTCACCCGCATTAGAAACTAGATTTCATCTTCAAACATACTACTTTTGTAGGGGGTGTGAACATTAAACATTTCCTAGAGGTGTGGGGCATAGAAAAGGCTGGGAACCACTGTTCTAGAGCAATAGCAATGTGATAGTGTTGGCAGACAAGCAAGAAATTCCATTTGATCCCCAAAGGCCACATACCCCATGACTGCAGAAAGCAATACAGCAATATCCTTAGGTTTTGTTGTCAAATGGAATTTATAATTTCAGCCACCAAGATGAATATTCATGAGAATTGGTGTTGGAAACTGAAATAAGTCTGTCTTGGTTAAAAGTAACCTAATGGTTTATTCTCTTTCCTTGGGAAATTGTTGGCTTTGTAGAAATTTCCCTTTATCATCTTATTCAAAAGCAGTAATCACCCAATCTATTGAACTGTAAATGAGGTTTCTGAACACAACCTAAGATATCAGTTATACCAAGAGTGAGCTATTCTTGATTGACAGTAGTCCAGCGGCTGCCCTGATTTCTCTTTTGTAGACCTTTCAGCATTCTGAGAGCAATATGGTCAACCATGCTTTTGGAGACCATCATCTAAGTGGTACTAACCTACTAATTTACAATACAACTAGCCTTGGCATGGAAAATCTTGAGAGTTGTTCATTTGTTGTCTATAAGTTGAAGAATAAAACTCCAGAAGAATAAAATACTTGGTTCTCACATGGCTGCCCCAAGCTGAATATTGTGACCTCCCAGAGGCTAATACCCCGTACTGGGCCAAAACCACCGACGAGTTAGGTAATTCACTTTGTTACTGTGAAAAAACTAGCAGAGTGTGAAGCTGTGATTAGAAAATAGTCTGGGAACTTTTTTTCCCTGTTGGGCCATGGAGAATGAGGCTAGAAGAGAATAATAATGATGACCCTGTTTTGTGAAGGCCAGGCAGTATGAGTAAGTCTCCACCATGTGTCCCTTGTCATGCCAAAGCATAATGCGTGTGTATCCAAGAGGTTTACTGCCACAAATTAAGTATTAGGGGGTTGAAATATTTCTACTTTTAAATGGTTTGTTCCAACCATTCCAGAAGTGTTCTGAGCTTGAAACAGACATGTTCTGAAACACAGCTGTTTCAAACTCAGAATGGCACTTTGCACACTATTCAGCACTTCCCATGGGGGGTGCTTTAAGGCCATAAATGCACAGAGTTACTTCATTAAAACACTGAGAAGGAACAAGATGCTATCACTGTAGTAGTTTAAAAAGCAAGGATAGTGCAAAACTACTAGTCCATATAACATGCTGCAGGCTGGGTTGGGCTCCTACCAATTAGCTAAGCTTTGAAGCATTATACTAAGTTACTATAGCATAGATGCAAATGCTGTATGTTTGAATGCACAGATACCACCCCAGCAAAAGTAAGTGCAAACCTGATTATATTAATTTTGCTCCTCCATAATCCTGAGCCAATACTTGCAAAGAAATACAGGGAACTCTTAAGCGAAAGCATCGGTACTGTACCAACTCCATTTCCATTGTTGGTTAAGAAATCAAATATTTATACAGTAGTATTAAAATATTTCCTGCAATGGCACCCAATAACAAGTGTATTTATCTTCTTTTTAAAAAAATAAGACTATATAAATTTTGACTAAATAGCAGTTTAAATGTACCTTCTAAATAAATTTGCAGTTTAGCCTGTCTTTTTTTAGAGATTATCATCTTCCAGAGCAGATGTTTTGTCTTAACTTTAATTGGCTGCAGTCATTTTATTTTGTACATAGTGCATATGTATAAGATTAAAACAGGTTTAGACAGTGTTGTTCTCATGACCTTAGAATCTAGTATTTCCCTCAATAACCCTGAAAGATGAAATGAGAAATGAGAGCCAGTAAAAGCTGTTCTTGTGGTCAGTGGCCAGCTCTTCCCAAGTCCTTCACTCCTACTACATAATTATCAGTGCTAGCACAGATGTGACCTATCAGTTTCTATAATGTCTCCAGGGATTGTAAATTATATTTAAATATCTCTACTTTGATCATAGCTACTGGAAGATGAAGCTACATGAAAGAACAGAAACCAAACCAGTAAACCCTCTTACAATTCTCTGTCATTTATAGAAATTTAACAGCCTGTAATGCAAGTGCTTAAATTGCAGTTATTTACATGCAGTTTCACCAAAACAAGAAAAGTCTTGCCATAAGAAATGTTTTTAGTAGCTAAAAAGCATTATAACGTCTACACACCAAATGTTTTCTGATACTGTAGTAATAAGATATCCTCTTCTTGTTGAATAGCTAGTCATCTTCTAGTGGCTAAGCATTAATCTTCTGGATCTGGAAACTGTTCAATCATCCAATGTCCCAAAATAAAATTAAAAACAGTAGTAGCAAAACCTGTCACTTCAGCCTTACTTTGGGTTTAAAAATATCTATCATGCTTATCTCTCAAATAATTTTAGACAAAACTATCATCTATTGGTGGTATCAAACCATCAGCCACTATGACAGCAAAAGTTTTTGGTCAGCATTTGATTGAAGAAAAATAACCCTAAGCTTATAAATTTAAATATTCTCTCACATACTTCTATTATCATAGTCCATGAGATTGTGTATTAGTCACAATGTAATATATTCCCACACTAAATTGCTGAAGAAGTTGCCTTTTATCCTGTATTCCAAAGACAATCTTCACAGCAAGAAAGCAAAGTGTCAAGAAGTTATTTCCAATTTTGCTGTTAAATATATCCCAGCACAAGGATTAACAGTCATGAATGCAATACCAGTATCTTTCTGGAATGAAATGCAAGTAGAATGCTCACAGCAAGCTACAGCATTATGCTGAAGTTAGCTCCAGACAGCCATTTCGGTCTACATCAATTTTTCCAATCTGGAGATCTTCCAAATACATGAGCTTCAACTCACAGAATTCCCTAGCTAGAATGGCATTATTAAGAATTATGGTAGCATATTTGGGGGACATACGTTGAAGACGAGAACATCTTATTTGAACAGGCAGCTCCTAACTTTATTTAACCCAAGATGCATTATCAATATTTGAAAACCAAGCTACAGAAAAACAATGGCACATCTATAAAGATCTAGAATTTCTTACTAGGGAGGAGTTCAGAAACAGTATTTGAAAATATCTCATGTGTACCATTGTATCTACAGCAGGAAATAAGTATCATCATCATCATCAGGATTGTTATTTGGTACTGGCTGTACCCTGGCAAGTTTGAGTATTTTTTGTGTGATCCACAAGGCATTTTAAATCATGGAAAACACTGGTGCAGAAGAGGCAAGTTAACCCATGAATGAAAATATGTTTTATAAGCTCTGCCTGATAAGGTCATATTAAAAGCCAAGCATCTTAATTTTAAAGGGAGGGGGATGATTCTTTTACACTGTTATAACCATCTAACCAGTTTTGATATTTTACCAAAACTATACACTTTATTATTATTTTTTAGAAACAATTGGTATTTTTAAAAAAACTAGAAATTTGTTACACAATTGTATAAAATCCCATGGACAGAAAGAAACGACATCATAAGCAAGGAAATAAAACAGAACAAAAGGAACTAGAACTTCTGGTATCCTGTAATACAGCCCAATGGCACTGATTGTGTTCACACAAAATAGCGAGCTATGATTCTAAAAAATCTCATTTATCATTCAGGAGCAGTATGTTGCCCTGTGACTCACCCATGGTATCTTCCACCAGCCAGAGAACTACAGTAACCTGAGCTTATTGAAAAAGCAAAAACTCTTCACATTATGTCAGAACTAAGATTCATGATTTGTTATACACCTAACAAGCCAGAATTCAAGCCAGAGTTTAGAGCAGGCACCCAAGTCAAATTGTTTGGGAACAAAAAGCTAGGAATCTTGAGTCTAAATTTAACATTAAGCATTTTCTTCCTGCTGATTTCCTTGTTATTGTAGTCACTATTAGTGGTGGAAGGAACCCAGGACTGATTGGGTGAAGTACAAACTGCTTGTGAATATTTTTTTTTTGTAATTCTGGCTTACTATTGTGTGCAAATGTAGTCAGTGAACACTAATATTTTTATGTTACAAAAAACTAAATTAGCGGAATAGTTTCTGATGTAATATGCAATCTTGGTTGCCTGATATCAGGGCTATTTAAAAAAAAAAATTATACACCCTCCAATTCACATTTTAAGTTCAAACTGTGCTTTACATTTTTAAGTTCTGACATACTAAAGCCCAAAAGCACAGACGGCTTAAAGTTTTTTATTGCCTTTAGGCAGAAGTATCTCTTTCTCCCAAAAAATGATGCAACATCAACTTTCCATGCACAAAGAATGGATGACAGCAATTCCAGCTCTTTTTTACTGGGATATGGCTTCTTGTGAAAATAATCTGCAAGAAACCTTTTTTGGACTTCATTTGAGCTTTGTTGGAATGGCTTTGGATTTAACACCAACACATGAAGATCTTCAACTGAAGACTCGCCCTTAGTTTCAGTTTTATGATCAGTCTTTTGTCGTTTGGAAGGCACACAATTCACCTCCTTTATTGGAATTTGGGCTGTACCACTATTTATAATCAGGAAAGGCTGGTCATCGCTGCTTTGGTCTTCGGAAACAGAAACAGCGTAAAGATGATCAGATTGTTTCCTCTTGGCTGAAAGAGAAGTATTATCATGGTTTTCCCCGTTCATAAGTGGTAGATCCTGCTTTTCATCGAGTTCAAGCTGCATCTTCACAGCTGGCGTGGTATCTTTAGGAGCGCTCCGGCACCGAAGCAAATGCACAGCTATAGCTGTCAGAGTCATGTTGCCAGTGTATACACCACAGCAGTGAATACATTTAAAAGCAGGAGACTTTAAAATGGTATGCACAGTTGGCATGATGTGGTGCCGCTCCTTCAAATGGATTTCATAGGCTTCTGTGCTAGTGAAAGTACCATAACAAAAAGGGCAAGTGGAAACTTTCTTATTCTCTCTACTCATTTCAGCACCCTCATGTTGCAGTTTGATATACAAAGGAATAAGTGTCCTTGAATTTACCCCAGCAAGTACAACAAGGTGCACTTCTTTTTCACAAAGTTCTTTTGAAGTTATACTGAAGTCAAAATGAGGGAATACTAGGTGATCTTCAGAATCACTCACAAGCTGAAACCCTTTATCATCATAATCAGAGTGCAGTTTCTTTTTCCCATTATGCAGAGTTCTTGTGTGATCCACAAGGCATTTTAAATCATGGAAAACACTGGTGCAGAAGAGGCAAGTTAACCCATGAATGAAAATATGTTTTATAAGCTCTGCCTGAGATAGAAAACATTTACAAGAAAAACATCGCACTGTCTTATCCTTTAGCCACCTCAAAAAAGGTGCACAGGCTGCAACTTTATCTATTTCAAGAGTAATCTCTGTCTTTGATGTACTACATTTGTGGGCTACCTGCATGTGCACCTGATAGACATTTGATGGGAAAAGCTCACTACAAACAGGGCAAGTCTTCCACTGCTTAGCCTGTTTAAGAACTAGACTCATTGCAGAACTGGTTGAAGAAGTCTTGGTAAGAGAGTTTGTAGAACTTACTACAACAGGAGATGGCACAGTAGCAGGACCCTGAGACAGCTGGGTAACTGGGCCAGGTTGCATCAGCTGAACAGGTAACTGAGGTGGTGGAACAGTTGCCACCCCACCACCTGGTGGCCCAGGCAAAGTAACGGAAACTGGTGCAAGAGTGTATGTAGGTATTCCATTAACTTGTTTGCCAGTTGGAATTAACTGTCTAAGTATAGGTCCACCAGTAAGTAAAGTAGGATTCTGACACACTCCAGGTCTAACAGACTGATTTACAGGAAGAACTTCTGGTGTAACAGGCTGATTAAACTGTACAATCCCAGGTCCAACAGATGGGTTTACAGGAAGAACCCCTGGTGTGACCGGATGATTAAACTGAAGAACTCCAGATGTAATTGCCTGGGGAACTGGAAGAATTCCAGGACCACTGCCAATAGGTCGATTTACAGCAAGGATCCCAGGTGATGAAGGCCTGTTAACTGGAATAGGACCAGGTCCTGGCATAATTGGACTGCTGATAGTTCTGACTGATTGATTAACAGGAAGCAGAGTAGGCCTGATAGGTCGAGTGAATGAAATGACTCCTGGAGGAACAGCTCTACTTATATTACCTGTGGGCTGATTTAGGCAAAGAACCCCAGGTCTTACAGGCTGTTTTAGAGGGTAACGGTGAGAAACAAAAACTGGTTGGGAAACTGCAGGCTGAAGACCAACATTATTCTGACTTCCTGGGCGAGGACCAGGAAGAAGGGTAATATGTAACTGATCAACTGAAGTTGAAGCTGTCATGCTATTGGAGCTACCTGAAACACCCAAAGGTGTAACCATATTATGAACTGCTTTTGTCGACACCATATTTTGATTCTGATTAACTGATGGAAGTGAAAGTTGAAGACGTGATGTAGAATTTGATCCTACAGAGGTAGGAATCAGTGGTGAAGCAGTCCCAGCTGTAGATGGCTTGGGAGCAATATTGATAATCTGCAGTGACTTTGTTTGTCCTGGTTTTTTAGGCTGAACTGAAATTACACGCCCCAGTATATTTTCCAGATCTTTGTGTACTTCAGATGTTAAGACATGATATATTAAAGAATCTCGGCTATTTGCAAAAGCATTACACTTTTTACAGTAATGATCAGTAAAATTCTCTTCACTTTCATCAGGCCTCTCCTCAAAATATGTGCTTATTAAATTTTGAAAATGGTTTACCAACACATGTTTCTTTGTATTGTAGTACAGCATGTCAGTAAACTGACATTTCTGGCATACAAAGTTTACTGCATCATTCCGGAATTGTCTCATACCACCACTCACATTATAGTTTTGTATTTTTTTCTTGGAGTGAAACATTCGGAGGTGTTTTCCTACTATTTTAGAATGAGAAGCAAATGAACATTCTGGACAAGGAACAACTAATTCTTGATCCATTTCATCTTCATGGTAACGGTTCAGGTGGTTTTTGAAAGAATTAAGAAATTTTGATGAAAATTTGCACAAGCTGCAGCAATATGGATTTGTTCTGTATCTCTGAAAAACAAGAAAAAAAGGACATTTGTAGAACTCCCAAACAATGTATATATAGCAACTGGTCAATACAGAAGCACCAAAAAACAATGCAGTCTTGTTAACTGGATATGAATTCTTCAGGAGATCATAATGACCCTATCTGTTATCTTCTCTGTATTAAATAATTAATATTAATATAATAATACAAATAGTATGAGGACCAAATCAAATGAAATCTAAATTTTCTATTTCTGATGCTGAGAATCAGTAGAATTATTAGAATACTAGCAATGTGGACTCCAGCTTAGTCCAAGAAGAGAAATATATGACCAAAAAAGGGAAGAAGAGATGATCTTCTATGTCATACAATAACTCAGGTACTACCAGAATGAATGCCAAATTTCTATTGCCATCTATGGTTAAAAGAAAATAAAAGGAATATATCAACGGAAGTCTTTGGTCCATCAAGTTAAGAAAAAAATTTAAAGCAGAATATCCAAAAGCCATTACTAGAACTGTGGAGCGCTAAATATGCCAATGCCAATTAGGTGTTCAATATTGTTAATTACTGAGTTGTCAAAGAAGTTCTCATTAACAGCTGTGGTAACTTGTTTTCAAAATGCTGAAAAAGCAACGAGGTATTTTGCATGCAATTCTGACAATTTAATGAAGTACAAAAAAAATAGGATAACAGAAAAAATGCAGAACAGTCAACCCTTCTTATTCTATTTTCAGAACATCTTTCCGTTATAGAACATTAGCTTTGGAAATTAAGAGAAGTCTTGCGATACAGCATAGAACCAACTTTTCAAATCAGAAGTATTTTTTAAAAATCTAACGAGATACACTCACACAACAAAATTCACTTAAGTCTGCAAATGTTGATCAGAATATTACATACCTTTCTTTTAGCCACATTGTCCCAATGAGATACATCATTCCATGAAGTATTGCAGAAGTATTTTTCTCCTGGGTCAAAACTTTTCAGAGTCTGAGAAGAAACAAGGAGTGTGTAATAAAATAGCCAATAACTAAAATAAAATGATCTTTTTACACAGTTACTTTAAAATTGGACTGAGACTCCAAAGCCAGGTGTAAACGCCAAACGTTTTTTTCAAATCCTACAGCCCAAGCAAGCCATAATTACCAAAAAACATAGGGTATGATCTTCATTACAGGTAGTCCTTGCTTAGCGACCTTTTGTTTAATGATGGTCTGAAGTTACAACAGCCTCAGAAAAAGCGCTTTATGATCTGTACTCACACTTACAACCATCACACCACTTCCGCAGTCATGTGATCACAATTCAGGTGCTTGGCAACCAGCTCACATTTATGACTATTTGCAGTGTCCTGATAGCAATTTGCAACCTTTTTTGCTGGTTTCCAGCAAAAAGCATCCATTGGGGAAGCTGGATTCGCTTAACGACTACATGATTTGCTTAACGACCACAGTGATTCACTTTACAACCGTTGTAAAAATGGTCATAAAATCAGGTCTGGTCACGTGGTGACTCGCTTAATGACCGCACCACTTAACGACCAATTTCCTGGTCCCTATTGTGGTCATTAAGCAAGGACTACCCGTATCTTAAACGAAAACAAAAAACAATTCCATCCCAAACAAAGGGGAAATAAAGCAAATTATGGCCTCACTTACTGGCATTACTACCCTGACCATAATTGCTTTCACCCTCCTGAATGATTTTCCAAGTGGCTTTTGGCCAGCTAAAGTGTGCCACCCATTTGAAATCAGTAATTTTATCTGGTTTATGCCAATCCAAGATCAGCATTCCACATTCTCACAACGCTGGAGATCTTCAATAACTAAGCTTCTGGCTCAGCTGCTGAGCAGGATGAAACACAATAAAGAGGAAAATTCTCACCTTGTCCTGTTTTCCTCTCCCCCTTTGAAATCAAGATGCCACAGCACTTTACCATGTTTTTTAAATTAAGCAGAGGTGGCTCTGCATCTCTCCTTAGTGGCTTTTTTCCCTCACTCAAAAATTAACAGGGAAAGTAACAAGAAGGGGGAAGGGGGAGAAAAAATGGGATGTTGGTTGGATGCTGATTTTTGCATTTCCCCATAGATCAGCTGGATGGAGTGCTGGGTGGCTCATTAATAGTACTAAATGTATGTGAAGATGGTAAGGGTGAGAACTCTTGTGTGTTGATGCAGAACCCCTTCTGATGGTTTGGGAAATGAAGCAAGTACCTCTGTGCAAGTACTAGTAAATCTCATACCCATATTCTTAAGAGTTTAGCAATCATAACGGTAGTAAAATTTTCTACCACCCACTGCTTGTTTAATTGAACTGCATTTATTGGATTTTGAAACCACCCAACTCCAAAAAGACTCAGAGTGGCTTACAATATTTAAAATACATAATTTATAAAACATGACCACCAAGACAAAGCCACATCAATAACATTCACAAAAGATTTGACAGGGGCTCCACAAATACTCTAATCCCAGCCCTGGGAACAAAACTAGGTCTTAAGACACTTCTAAAACACTTGGAGAGTGGAAGCCATACATATCTCTGGGGGGACGTTGTTCCAGGAGGCACATGCTTATGGGTATTCAATGAATTTTTTTCCTGCTATCAATTCTAAATGTAAAAAAAAGGTAAGGTTGATCAAACATTAATTCAACCATACATTCAATTTTTAAAATTGTTCATCAATATTAGGAATCTGTGAAGTGAACGGTATTTTTTTGGCTGAAATGCCTGACATCTAGTTATTTCAAATGCTACCTCACAGAGTTGTTGTAAGATTAAAATTAGCAAAGGAGAGAATCGTATACAATGCTGTGAGCTTGTAAAGGAAAATAAGGATATAAATGCAATATAAAAATAACAAAAACATATCTTCAGAGATTTAAATATCTGTAATTATCTGAGTATGTTACAATTGACTCAGGGTTTTATGTATCTGAAAAGACTTTATTTAATACAGTCCTATCCCCAAAGTTATGATACTGAGGAAGCTTATAAAGTTTATGTGACTTGACTTGATTTCAAGACATAAACTATGTATTTTAAGACATTCATCATAATTTTCATGTAGGTGCATTTGACTAATAAGTATTTGTACATAGATTGTAACTGTAATATTTCATATGTTTAAGCCACAAAAAACTATGGAAACCTAAAATAGTATTAATTCATTTATTTAATTTAGACTCTGCCTTTCTACTTAGGTGAATAGTCAAGATGACTAGACAGAATATATAGATTTAGATTTGAAAGTAGCTTTTAAAAAAGAAAAGTATGCGTTTTTTTCCTTAAAAGAAAGATACGGGGGTCCTCAGTTAACAACCACTCATTCAGTGACCATTTGAACTTGAGATAGCATTTAACAAGTGGTACTTATGACCCATTCCTCAGAGTTCCGGCCATTGCAGCATCTCCACAGTCACATGATCACAATTTCCAACGTTCTCTGCTGGCTTCCCATAAGCAAAGTCAATGGGAAAGCTGGCAGGAAGTCAGAAGTTACTCATGTGAGGCCCTCACTTAACGACCCACACAGTTCTTGCTTAACAATGGCAACAGAACTGCTGTTGCTAAGAGGCATGATCACGTGATGCCATACTTTATGACCACATCACAATTGCCATCATTAACACAGGACTACCTGTATTAACTCCAAGAAAAGAGGAGTATTTTACTGAACTTTTTGAAAAAGTATTGCCACTTGTGTGAAAAAATCAAAATTATGGAAGTAAAATCAATATATTTCACTTAACAGTCTAGGAATGTTTTTACAACACTAGAACTAGTCAGCAATCAAGTGGAACAACAGGGGTAAGTTTCTCTATGTATAAGTTTGATTTTATCAATGTTCTTCTATATTCACGTAAGCACAAAACCTTGAGATCATTCTAGATTTGAAGTTTACGGCAAAAGCCAGCCTGCTTATTCCTCCCCCTTGCCCCTTCTGATCCTCAATGTGCAATAGCAAAGTGTGGTTCTGCTGCTCCTATTCAATTCTCAAGATATATGCAACAGCCAATAAAATCAAGGAACATAGACCCAAGGAGAAAAAAGGCATTTAAAGCAGGGAAAGAGATTAAATTAGGTAATTGTACAAATTATCTCAAATTGTACTTACAAAAAAGAAACCTATCCTCCTTCATGGTCTCTGTGTTTCACATGCATTAGAAAACTTAATTAATTAACAAAGAAGCAGATGCCTATGATATCAGGAAAAACAGCCACTCAAAAATAGCATCTGCTAAAGCCCAAATATCCAGTGTACAAAAATCAAGGGATAAATCTTTTGGATACAGAGTCCCTTGAGAAAAATAGAAACAGCAGAACCTAGAGCCTATGCAAAACGGCCCCATGTAACAATATAGCAACTGACAACTTTCTAGCTTAAGCAAATCAGGGGAGATACAGTATTTCAAAAGCTGAGACAAAGCTGGTTGAACTATTCAATAATCTTTGTCAGAAAATGGAGCTAAGCAGCTCAAATAAAAGAAAATTGCTTTATAAATATTAAACAAGTGAAAAGTAACCTTTATTGATGTTGCTGAATGAAGAGAATAAGACAAAGAAAGGATGCCCTGGTTTAAGTGAATTGTAAAAACCATCCTCCATAGCTTTGTTGCAAAAGAGATTACATTGATGTTGAAGAGCACTGTGGAAAGGTTTTTCCAGAGCCCTGATGATAGAAGAAATGCCAAACTACCAACATGTCAGCACCCATTTGTCACGACTGAATAGATGACCAGAGTATTTTCCTACTTGCCAGATGAACCACAATTTTTTTAATGAGGACAAACTAATCCCAGAATTCAAGAGTAAGAATTTATTTATGTATTAAGTGGTTACTAAGTTGGCAAAGCTCACTTGGACAATGCATCCAGATACACCAGTATCAGTTATGAAATGCTGGAAATTGAGACAGAGTAGAAGAAAGGAACAGAATACTTTTCAAGAAACTGAACCTAGAGATGTGGATTTCTATGGACAGAGTAAGGTGAGACTTGACTCATATTTCTGAATATTGGAAAACAGATTGATGAATCACCACTAAGTTTCTTCATAGGAAGGCAGGCAAAAAGTCTTACCACTCTTATTTATGCCATGAGATCCAGAAACCTCTGGATGTGGTAAGCAGACAGGGAAAGCACAGTTCACAAAGCACAGCAAGAGACAGACCCTTTCAATGAGGAAAAAGGGCAGCTCTGAGCTGTACTCCAATACACTGTAGAACTTATAAATGTCACAGAAAAGATTGTACTGAACTAACGCAGATATACCATCAGAAATAGTAACACAGCAAAGGTGTTCCATTAGGCTGTTACAAGTCAATGTAAGGAAAAGCAGTACAGGTTGTCCTCACTTAACAACCACAATAGGGACCAGAAAATTGGACATTAAGCAGGGTGGTTGTTAAGTGAGTCACCACATGACCAGACCCAATTTTACAACCATTTTATGATGGTCATTAAGTAAATCATGGTTGTTAAGCAAATCCAGCTTCCCCAATGGACATTTTTGCCAGAATTTGCAGAACCATGTGATTCGCTTAATGACCAGTGATTCACTTAACAACTGTCATAAAAAACTGTCTCAAATTGCAATCATGTGACTGCAGGGGGTGGTGCTACAGTTTCCGATGGTCATAAGCATGAGAACAGGTCGGAAAGCACTTTTTCCAAGGCTGTTGTAACTTTGAACTGTCACTAAACTAACAGTCATTAAGTGAGGACTACCTATAAAACCCCAGACTTTGAGGTAAACCACTTTTTTGTAAATAATTCTTGGTTCCATAGTAAAGCTAAGAGGGGGAGTACTGTACTGAAAAAATATAGAAGACTATGCTGATAGAAATCTACCAACATCTCAAAATTAAAAATCAAAACAATAGGAACAAACCACACATACCCAAGAACAAAACTACAGTAAAGAACTGGAGTCTTGATTTATTCTATTAAATGGCTGTTTTCTTCATCAAAGTCCCAAGTCTAAATGGACAAGCCTAGTAAGTTGTTTTCAAAATTAACACACTACCTATCCATCCTCAGCCATGTCCCCACCCTACTGCCTGCTCCCTGCAGCGCTAAATTTCCAGTTAGAAGCTATGTGGGACAGACTTATTTTGTCCTATTTTACAATCTCATCCTCTAATAGCAGCAGCATCTCATGCTTTGAACCTGTGGTCTTCCCACTCCCATTTTCCTTTTCCCTACCCCTGTTCTGCCCCAGCTTCCATTTTGAAAAGTGAGACAGAAAGATGTCATCCAGCATCTCCAAAGGAACAACACCTCCTAAAGAAGAAAAGTTCTGCACAGTCTAAATCCTCACCTCTTCACAGATGAGAAAGGGGTGGAAAAAAAGAGTTAAAAAGAGAGGGTTATCAGTTTTAAAAAGATCTTCCAGGAATGGAGAGGAACAAAGCATATGAAAGTTTCCCTGGCACCAGAGAGACTTCAGTGTGGTCTTGGGCAAGGCATTCTGGAGCCAAGATGGAGAAAGACTTCAATCTTCCCAATTGTTGCCTGATATTTTATCACTTGAGGGAAGGCAGAAGGGGATTCAAATCATTGCAGCACTTAAGGCTTTTCCCTTCTTTTCTTAGCTTCAGCAGAAAGACATTCTGATTTAAAAACACATCATGATTTCAAGCCCCACCATGCAAATTTTTAAAACCATTTTTAAAAAAATTCTGCCCATGGTCAGAACTTTTTAAAGAACACTCTGTGAGAAGAGGAAGATCCAGAACTTCCCCAAGAGCAGCAGTCACTGAAAAATGAACTCCCCACCATATAGGGCACAGAAGCACTAGAGCAGAATCCTTTCAACTACATGTTAAGCCAGGGATGGGCTGGTCAATTTCAAGGCTTTGCAAAGAGTTCATGGGTCTTCTCAGAAGGAATAACCCCTCTAGGTTCACCAAGCTGTTTTAAAAAAAAGTGGCTGCAGAAGTCATGGTTCTCTTGCAGCCAGAATAGCACAGAAGAACAGGCACTGAGCGCAAGGACTGGAGAGAAGAAGGTTGTATCACAGCAAACCTGTTGGACTGATTGTACTCAACCAGATCACCTCCTCCCCCACCCAAGTCATCTCAAGACTCCACCTCCACGTCCAATTGACTTCCTGTGAGCACCATGGCAAGCTGACATCCTGCTCATTAGCAGGACAGCTTTGTGAGGAGAATCATGGCTGGATGCTGGATCCAAACCGGCAAAATTTCTCTGGAAGAAATCGTTGAGATTATCCATGTTGACTCCGGACAGCCACTACTCATGAGTAGACCACGAAAATTGACATTTTGCGGTCGGCTTATGAGAGGAGAGGCTGGGAGTCGGGATTTCATCAAGCTCACACTCACGAAGCAGCGTTTTATGGACATTAGGCTCAACCGAGTCTTATTTAATAACTTTTTTGGATTTCAATTATTAATTTTTTGTTGTTGTTTACTGGAGAAATTAAGACCCTTCGGACTGGCAAGGTTTTACTGTATTCATTGGGTGAGTTTCTTCCTCCTTAGAGGATGATGGTGTAAATTCGATTTTAAAAGTTTTGAGAATCTACCATTTCTTGGACTATACAGCAAAAGGGTGCTTAGTATATGAATTCTGGAAAGTTAACAACAGATTAAGGGGCCAGAGCGATTTGGAATTACAGCTTTGAATTAATTAGAAGATATTTTCTCATAAGAAAATGACAACTGTTGTGGCTTTTTTATAAGAATAACGTTTTGGCTGTTCTTACGTTGAGACTTTGAAGGTTGGACACTAGAGGGAGCTAGAGAATAAAGAATATAGAGCAGATAAAGAATATGGAGCAGAAATCCATATTGCCAACTTCTGAGTATCTATTAAGCTTCTTAATATAATGGATCAATTGCTTGACAAGATGGACAGAACATGTTGTAATTAGTTACAGAACAAGAACAAATTGCAATGGATGTTTATGAAATTACTTGGGAGGGGGTCTTAAATCTAAACATGTTGTATTTAGAGATGGTGATAGGCTATTAAATTTGTCTTTACTTGCTGGGATGAAGGGGGAAGTTACTTTTTTTTCTTTTTTCTCTTTTCTTTCTTCTTTCCTTTGCATACCCCTCCCTTCTTTTTTTCCCTTTTTTTGTATTTTTCTGTTCGTATTTTTTGTATTTTGTATTGGCTTTTATTCTTTCCATTTATAATTCTTAATAAGAGTAAAAAACTCCTTTCATGCCAGAATACATATATCCTGCCTTAGGCTGCCTTAGCACTGGCTGGAGAAAAGATGGGAGCTGTGTCATGAGAATATGTCCTTAAAAAACCAGTAAGTGGGGCATCTTCATACCGCAGCAACCCAAAGGTGTGGATAAAATCTAAAAATTAAAGAAGGCATTTTTAACCACATATTTTATGGCCTTTCCTTGTTCTGAATTCCACTGGTAGGATGTCATCTGATATCAGGATCAGAATCTGGAGTAAGTAATTTGGTTGTTTTCTCTTTCTCCAAATTATTTTTGTTTTATTGTGCTTTTTCTTGGAGAACTATTTCATTTACTAATATTCTCATCCAAATTAAATTATGCAGTTAATGCTGATACTCATTTTGTAGCATATACCCAGCTTAATCCTCTCCCTCTCTCATCTTCCTCATAACAATTCACTACAAATTACTGCTTCCTACTGCCATTAGTATCTACCTGCATTGGCTTTATCACTCTATTTCAAAGGAAGTAATTTCTTCCTCCAAAGCAATAGATGTATGGAATGAAAGCAAACTCAGTAGCATAGCTTCTCCTCATGCTAGACAAGACATATAATTCTGACATAACACCTCAAACCTTCACAAAAGAAATGAGCAATAAGGAAGGGATAAGTCAAATATGATGTTTAACATCTGAAGCCTTGGAATGGGCAGACAAAATGTTGAAAATGAAAAGATGGTTAAGATAACTGCTGCTAAAGTGTAGCAAGACAGCAAGAAGACAGGCAAGTGGAAACAATATAGGGACAGGACCAGGAACATGGCTGTGATCACTGCAACCCATAAAGCAAGCAGTGGGCCTAATTTTTAAAACACTATCCTAGGTATCATATATTTTAGTGAAATAAGCCCTCTCTATTAAAAAGACCTTGTATATTCACTGTTGCCTACTGAGTAAAATCTACCAGACTAATCCAGACTTATCTAAGGGATGCTATGACTCCAGCCAATGCTTTAATTATAGTTCACTGCAGTCATGATGTATCTATTGCTTCACAATTCAAAATGTGTAACAAAGACAAATCTTTGCCGTATCCCTTTTATCTTAAGAAGGGTGAAGAAGAATGGCAGCTTTCTTCCAAGGATAGTTACAATACTATACAGGCATGATAACTGCCCAGACTGTATAAGAGGATTGTGTCTTGAAAGAACTTACAATGACTCTAACACTGAATTTGGGCTTTCTCAATATACAAGGCCCATACCTGTTACTTTTTCTGTGTATGTATTTATAGAAGTTGGAGCCATAAGTTTGAAGAGGAATAAATAGCTATTTCCCTGAATCTGTACAAATTCTTACTATATCATACTATAGGAATGAAAGAAAGTTTATCCAATAATATTTATTTGAAGCTGCCCGCTCCAAGGGGAAATAAAGTGCTTGAAGACTTACAGAAGATTACATTTGATACACAAATGACTTTTTGAGATCATTTTAAGAACTTTTATGCATACGTATCATGTTAGATTCCATTCTCTGCATTTTCCCATGCATAATTCCATATGGCAGCCTTTCTCAAAGTGGAATCAATGGATGGAAAGTCACCAGAGTCCTTCTCCACTCCTTTCCAGGCAGGCGTATCAGTGTGATGGAAAAAATGAATGCAAAGCTAACAGTTCCAGAGCTCTATATGAACTCTAAGCATTCTCTGTGTTTTTTGTTTTATCTTTCAAAAGGAAGAATAATCATGACCAGAGGGAATGATGCTTCTATGCCAAACTCTAACCACCTGACCTGTTGCTAGCTCTGCTGGAGGAATTACAGAGGAAGGGAAAGAAATTGCCTCAGTGTGGATTCATTCATTCATTAGAAAGGCACCAAAAACAGAGCATCCCAGTGTTTTGCAAACTGCAGTATTTTAAAAGCAATTTAAGAAACTATTAGAGGTAAGGAAACACCCTTTTGTTTGATGAATAAAAATGTCTGTCCAAAATGAAACCCGTATTTCAGGAAGTATATAAAAGCAACAATATTATCCTTCCTATTAAAACATGGTTTTATTTTATAATGAAAGGGTTTTGTTTTGATATATAGATTAAAATTTAAATTAAAAGTAAGTGGTATATTTCTTGTCCAATCCTAATTCCAACGAAATTATTACCTTTATTCATGGGCTGAGTGTTGTACAAACTCATTTTATTATTTTAGTGTCACAGTACTGCAAAGTTTGAAAATCCTACTATATGGAGTATAGGATCCAACTTTTAGTTAGGACAAAGACTACTTATTTTAACACAATTTTCCACATTTTGAGTCTCATGAAATCATTTCAGAACAGCCACAAAATTTTATATACACAATCATAAAGTGTCTTCTAACTCTGAAAATTTTTCTTCTTTACCTGAAGTAACTCTTGACAGCTGTCAAGTCCAATATCCACAAGAATACCCTTCACTTTCTTCCGAGATCTTCTTATATTATCAAGATTTTGCACAGGAATTTGAAACATGTCAAACTTTACCTAAAAGACAAAGACATAAAAATAGAGATAAATTTCTCAGTATGATTTCACATTTGTTGAAACTGTAATGATAAACTTTGGTGGGAAGCTATATAACATCCAGAACAGCTCTAAGATTTGAGAATTTAAGAATATATAATTCTGTCTCAAATGATTGCTAAAGCTCAATTTCTTTCTTGGGAAGAAGGCCCTGCTGTTCTGTAATTTAAACTTAAACAAGGGAATTCAAGAAATGAAAATGTTTTGGAAATAGAGCCTATCATGAAAACCAACTTGAACAGTAGTAAGTTAGCATATCTGGGGATTCAAAATGGACACAGTAGCAGAGACATTCATCCCCACAGCTCCTCTGTACCTCATAGGTATCAGAATATTTCACCCCAGATCTAACTCAGATATAGTGGTAAGTGTATTCAATTCAGTGTTATGAAAATCACCAAAGTCAGCTTGCTACCATGGTTAGCCAAAATTGGTATACCCTTAAGGGTGTCAAAGATGATTCTATCAATGATTTTAATTACTCAGGATACTTATGGGTATTAAACCCTTAAACATATACAGAGCAGCAGTGAGCCACATTATAAATTTGCAGTGAACCGTCTGTTTCCCTAGAGGGACAAAGTGACAATAAGCAGGAAAAACTGGGGACTGCTCTTATAGCCACACATAAACATTCACTGCAAATCTGTTGTCTTTTTCTGTTGTCCTAGGCAAAAACATTTTATAGCTGATGAACTTGGGGACACTTGGTGAGATTTTGTTGTCTTTACAGTATATTGAAATGTACTTCAATAATTTAAAATTACAGTCATGTGAAAATGCACACCCCATTGAAATTTTTGACTTTTTCAACATATTTCAACATACAGATATTTGATCTTCATTTCAACAATAGTGATAAAGGGGATATAATATAACAAATATCATGCGCCATTTACCGTATTTTTCCGACTATAAGACGATACTTTTTTCTAGAAATAGAGCTGCAGAGAGACGGTTTGGACCTCCTCCCACCGAGTGTATCAGGTAAATGTTAACTAATTACTAAATAAAAATGTGTTCGAAATAGAGCTGCAGAGAGACGGTTTGGACCTCCTCCCACCGAGTGTATCAGGTAAATGTTAACTAATTACTAAATAAAAATGTGTTCTGCACTATCTTTAAAATACTGATTTTTTAATTTTGGGCTGGAAAAGTGGGGGGCGTCTCGTACATGGGGGCGTCTTATTGTCGGAAAAATACGGTACATTTTGTAGTCCATTGTGTGATTTAAATAAATATAAATGCAAATTTTGCATGTGGAAAAAGTCCACCCCTACATTTATCACTACCTCAAATATAACAGGTGCAAATGATTTTAACACCATTAGGCAGGATCTAGAAGGAACCTGTTTTATTGAAACATCAGACATTTAGTTTGATTTGCTCTTTGTTGTTAAGTGTATAGTATCACCATGCCTAGACCGAAAGAGTTCTCCGAGGCCTTCAGAAAGAATAGATACCTATGAATCTGGGAAGGGATTTTAAAAGATTGCCAAACAATTGGATATCAATCATTCTACTGTTTGGAATATCATCTACAAATGGAGAGGATTTCAAACAATTCCCAACTTGTCCAGGCCAAGCCATCCCAGCAAGTTCAGCCCAAGAACAGAACGCAAGATGATGAAAGAAGTCTCTAAGAACTCCAGAATTTCATCACATGACTTACAGGTGAATCTCGCCATTATTGTTAAAGTATGTGAGTCTACCATTAGAAAGAAGCTGCATAAATTAGATCCACATGGGAGTTGTGTTGGGAGGAAACGTTTGCTCTTCAGAAAATCATCAGGGCAAGACTTGCTCCTGAAAACCTAGACAAAGACCAGGATTTCTGGACCAATGGGCTCTGGATAGACGAGGCAAAGATAAAGTTATCTGGTCACAGTCCCAAAAGGCATGTTTGGCGAAAACCAAAGACAGCATTTCACCAGAAGAACCTGATACTAGCTGTAAAGCATGATGGTGGAAATGTTATGGTTTGGGGTGGCTTTGCTGCATCAGGGCCTGGAGAGCTCATCATCATAAAATCCACTATGAATTTTTCATTTACTACAAGGTGCATGAGGATAATGTGAGACAATCTGTCAGAAGACTGAAGCTCAACCAAAAGTGGACCTTGCAACATGGCAATGACCCTAAATGTTCCAGTAAATCCACAAAGGAATGGCTGAGAAAAAAGAAAAGAAATGGATGATTCTGGAATGGCCAAGTCAAAGCCCAGATCTAAATCTCATTGAGATGCTATGGGGTGAATTGAAATGGGCTATGCATGCAAGAAACTCCTCAATCATCACATAGCTGGAAAAAAATCTGCATGGAGGAATGGGAAAAAAAATCTTCCCAGTCGATGTCAGAGACTGGTAGACAGTGATAAAAAACACCTACTTGGGATTGTTTCTGCCAAAGGTGGCAATACCAGGTATTGGAGCCAAGAGTGTACTTACTTTTTCCATAGAAGGAAATGGCGTATCTGTTAATTTTTTGTTGAATGAATGATTGCAAAGTCAAATTTTCAGTTTTATTTGTTCAATTACATCATCTTTATATACTGTTTGAAGATAAAATGTTATGTCTACATATGTTAAAAAAGAAAAAAAGTTACATGAGGTCTACTTTTTCACATCACTGTATGTTTTAATGAGATCCTTATGTTTTGTTACTATTCTTAAGTATTATTTACTGGCAGGAAATGAATGAATGAATGAATGAATGAATGAATGAATGAATGAATGTCTCCCATTTCATCAGCAAGACTGAAGTGTGCACGATTTAAATGAGAAGGTCGATACAAACGTAATGCTCTCCTTATTTGCTGTTCCCCTCACTTAATCACATTTTCTTAGCTTGTCAAACTGCTATTTAAAGGGCTGGAGTTTGAAATCTGCACAACTTGGAATCTCCACACTGATTTGCTAGTATTTTCTAATAAGGTTGCTAGAATCCACTTTCATTTATTTACACATTAAATTTTATTTTAAGAGCATCCAGGCCATACCATTCCCAAGCTATGTTTTAAATATTCTTAGTTTCAGGATTAATCTATAAAAGTAGATAAATATCTTCCAAACAAGTAACAGCTTTATACACACACACTTCTGTATGTGATAAAATGTAACTTCACATATATATTAATGATAATGGGAAGAAAGGCAGTTTAATTTAACTAAAATGAAAATCAGTTCAAGTCCATGATACCTTATCTGGTTTCAACATACTCTTACCATGCAAGACTTTATATACTTTATATAATGCAAGACTTTATATACCATCAAAGCAAATTACATTTTTTTTAAAAGAAAGAAATAAAAGAAAGATGGCCAAGAAACAGAGCTAAAGTTATACAAAGGTGGGCAATCTGCAGGCCTTCAATTCAATGCAGCTCTTAAGCATATTCTTAATAGCCCCTAAAGCCATAAAAAATGAGGGTGTATTTGTCAAAATTCAGTTGTGTCATTTCTTACCTTTTACATGGATAAGACACTAGCATGTTGTGCAAGGCCTACAATAAATGTGACACACTTAAGAAAAGGGGCAGGGCAGAGTATGCACCTAAAACAAAGAGAGAATCCCTTGGGCACAAATCAGCCCCACCTACTTTATGTCATTCTTAACCTGCCAAGACTTCCTCCCCCAAGGTTACAGGCTGCCTCTAGCCACATTTTTCCTCAAAATTGAAGATGATTAATAAAAAGAACAACTCTGGATAGAAACACAAATGCATTTACAACTGAGTGAACTGTCAGTTACAGATTTATGAGTATGACACAACCTAAGCCATTATCTTTGGTTTGCCACTCCTATAACTCTTAGCCATCCCAGAAAAGGTTCTTAGGCTTCTTCAACTCCTAAAGCCTTCTTGCCCCAATCACTGTCATACTTCCTTTCAATTATTTTGCTCAAAATTTCCTCATTCTGGAACTACAGTACTGAGAGACAAGAATAAGGATCCAATTTCCCCATCTCTGAACTTAAAATCTTATGGCATTTGGCTTAAACCCAAGAGAGTTAAAAGCCTAATTCTATATACAAGGGCAACATTAAAATGTTTTTAACAGATTCACTTACCACTAGATTAAGCCTGTCTTGCAGAACCACCTGTCATGTGTGGTAACCTGGGAACAGTCCCCACCTCACTTTTTCCTCCTCTGCACTTCTGTTTGTCTGGCTTTTCTTGAAGATCTTGAAATCTTTATGATCAACATCCTTGATCTACCCTGACATCACAGTTAGACTTTATTATTAATTCGATGTGTTTAAATTGTCTGAATGGCTTAAATGTTAAAAGACAAAATTAATCACTTACAATTTTCCCCAACGAGCAGCCCTCCGGGTATGTGAGACCTCAACACTCATCCTCCCCAGTTGATCTCTGTCATTTTTTTTCTCCCATAATGGAGGCTGTGCAGCTTGGGAGACTTATTTGTATGAAAATCAGCTAGATTTTGTAAGCTTACAAAATACAAGAAGCATTATATTTTTGACTGCCATGAATTCAGTTGTGAAGAATACTGGTTCTGAACTCCAACACTTGAAATAATTTTGGATAAATTTACACTGAAATTCAGCTATGTGATTCTCTATTTATGCATGGAAACATAAAGACAAGAGCTGTCATATGCAATGGTAGGTTACAATTAACCTGCAATTATTTAATATCAAACCCTGGTCCGTTTGTCACAGGTTTACATGCAATTTACACACACACTAATCCTGGGGTCTGGTGGCCAATAAAATATTACAAAGAAGCAGCCAGCACTTGAACAGCATAGACAGATTATTTTATTCTATCCCTAAACCGAAAACCACTGAAGCTCGTTCTTATCTGCCCCTTCCAGGCAGAAATATAGTGAGAGGTTTTCTTCTCCCAAACTGGGAGCTCCGTTCCAAATGTCGAGAGTTTACGGGGTCCTGAATTCACTTGTTACACAGAAACGATACTGGCAGCGGGGTTTGGTGCGTGAGAAAAAAAAATCCAAAAGCTTCAGGCCGGTTCTAGTGCCCTCGTGAACAAAACGAGTTCGGGCCGAACCCGGACTTGCAGGAGCGGGATGGCTAAAGAGGCACGAGCAGCACCCGGGCGCAGATCCCTTGCAGAGATGGGCCTCCTTTCCCTCCACTGCGGTTCTGGGCGCCCGCGTAAGGAAATATGTCGAGCAAGCCTGAACATGGCCTCTGGGTGCCGGCCGAGCCTCGCGGAGGCGCGTGAAAAAAGGTTGCGAAGAAGTTCCACCTTGGCGCCAAGCGTGACAAGACTTCGCGCCTCGGAGGGAGGGAGGACGCGGAGTCATCTTCTGCCTATCCCCGCAGGCTGCACTTACCTGTCCCGGCTGCAGGGGGCGCCTGCTGCCCGCTCGGTGGTTCCTCGATTGCGACTCCCTGAGGCGGACCGACGCGTTGCAATCTCGCCCGCCGCCGCCCCTCTTCCTCCTCCTCCTCCTCCTCCTCCTC